ATGAAACGACCAAGAAGCTTCCCTTTTCTACTTTGCTTCTTCAATGGCTATGGGGTGTATTGCACTTTCCACATAAATGAATCACTCAACTTGCTTTTTGATAGAGATGCTGTCCAGAAGTTATATAGTATGGTCTTCCCTCGTCAACGGCATCAGAGTGAAAAATGAATATGCAAACTCCAAAATATAAGTGAGATCTCATTAAGAAAAACTGAGAAACATATAAAAATAAAAAAAGTATTATGAACATTGCATAATATAATTTTTTTTTTAAATTATACTTAAATCATTACATGTTTAACATATTTCATCGAGTAAATTGTTTTTAGGACAGCAATATTTTAGATTTAAGTCAATAATAAGGTTCCAAATATTTTGTATGAGTTGTTTGAAGTAACTTACTTTAATAAATGCTTATTTTTTTATAATTATTTTACTTAAAAAAATAAAAAATAAGTAAACAAAAATAAATGAGAAAAGAAAATATAAAAGATAATGAATTTTTTAAAATTTATTAAAAAAATTCTAATAAAAAAATAAATAATAAATCACTTCAAAATAATGTGACATTATAAATCTTATTTTATAATTTCAAAATTGAAATAATTATATATAGATAGCACAATGGCCACAAATGACCACTTAAAATAAATATATATATATATATATATATATATATATATATATATATATATTCTAGGAAACAAAACACACAATAAACTTTAATTTTGTATTAATAGATTCTTAAACTTTATCCTAATTTTATAAATTTGAAGAATGAGATGTTTAGAATCTATATATAATAAATTCATATAAATATCAACACTATTTAAAGTTAAAAATTTCATTTGGAAACGTCAAATTGAACTTAATGTTAATAAATATATTTATTAATAATACAATTTTTTTTAATATTACGATTAAGTTTAAATAATATTTTCTGAAAACTATTTATAAAACATTGATAGGTTTCAGGGATTAATTATAATAAAATTAAACTGTTAGCTGTTTATTTAAAAAATAAATACAATTTAAGAATCAAATAAAAAAATAAAATTCAACATCTATTTATAAATGAGATAAAGTTTAAGGATTAATCGAGATAAAAATGAAATTTACAATAAATAGAAGAGATAATGTTTAGGTTTGGACATTTGACTCATTAAAAATAGGAATAAATGAAAAGCAATCCACTCCTTCGTAACCACGTTACGCGTCCAGGAAAAGAGAGGGAAGAAGAATAAGTCGATTCACTAATGCAACGAAATTCACTGTCACTGGTTGGAGTGATTTATTGATCCAAAAGATAGAAAAGTGAGAATGGAATTCGTTTGTTTGAATTAATATGAGAGGATATGCTAGTGATGATTTAAGGGAGAGTGGGAGAAAAACTCACTCGCTTAAACAAATAGATATATAGAGAAACACACATCATCAAATGATCATTTATGTATTTATCCTTCTTCATCTTCTCCATGTGAAGATACAGATGCATGGAATCCACACACAGTGCCTCCTCTAAAAAAAAAATATATATATATATATATATATATATATATATATTCTAAATTATAATTTATATTAATTACTATAATATAAAATATATATTCCAAAATATAACTTATTTTCATTTATATATATTATAGAAATTAAAATAAATTATATTTTAGAATATATAATTTTTCAAATAATCGAGATTTTAGATAGCGGTTATAGAACCAACCACTATTAAAAATATATATTAGATAGCGGTTAACTTGAAGCCATTATTATATGTTCACTTTTAAGAAGCGGTTAAAATGTTAACCGCTCTTAAAAGTGATACATATATGATAGCGGTTCACACTTTAACCGCTCTTAAAAGTAACATATAATAGCGGTTTCACGTTAATCGTTATCTAAAATCTATTTTTAATAGCGGTTAGTTCTAAAACCGTTATCTAAAATCTCGATTATTTCAAAATATTTTGATGTAAAATTATATATATATATATATATATATATTCTAAAATATAATTTATATTAATTACTATAATATAAAATATATATTCCAAAATATAACTTATTTTCATTTATATATATATATATATATATATATTATAGAAATTAAAATAAATTATATTTTAGAATATATATATATATATATATATATATAAATATAATTTTTAATTAAATAATAAAATATTTTTACTAATAAGTTTACATGAATTTTTCATTTAATTATTATTATATTTTCACTATATTTTATATTTATTTAAAATAATAATTTACAATTATATTATTATAGTTTTTATAATTATTTGTTATTATTAGTCAATATTAATTATTATTTTATATTTTATGATTATTTAATTATTAGTCAAATAATTTATTTAATATGTCAAAATTATTTTTTTATGGATATGTAACGTAAATAATTTTGTAATTGTTTATTTATATACTTTTTAATAACTATTTAAAAAAAATTTAATTTTTTAAATTTGTTTCCACTTACAAACACTTTTAAATTTTTTTTCTTTCAAATATATAATCAATGATAAAATATGGATAATTAATTAAAAATTATATTTATAATAATTTTAACCTTATTTTATATACAAGGTAAAATGGTAATTTTCTTAAATAATCAATTAAAATTATAATTTTTATATCTCATATCAATCAAATCACTTACAATTTTCCATAAACTTTTCTTTTACTTTCCATTCAACCAAACAACTTTAATTTTACCTCCATTTTTCTTCAGATTCCTCTTTTTCCACACTCTCATTTTCACTCTCTCAAATCACTCTAATCAAACAAAGTCAAAAGAAATTTGTTTAAAATTTAAATTAATTTTAAATTTATATTGATACCTACTCAGTTATCAAAAAATCATTTGCAGTTATCTTCAACCTACTCAGTTAATTGGAACGTCCTCTTCAAACTCGATCACAACCGACACAAACTAGTTTATATAAATTAAAATTTATATAAATATAATTTCTCATCTCAATATTTAAATAATTAAAATATAAAATGGTGTGAGATACTTTGTGCTCAAGAAAAAAATAACGTGATCTGACTCTTTATGATTGTAAACTAGTGATTAATCATAACTTATTAGATATTTATATCTTTTTTATTAACTTTTAAATGTAAGATCTAAAATTTTAAATGTATAATAATAATAATAATAAATTGTTTGCATTTTAAATCATCTGCAATATGATAAGAGATTATTGCATGTAAGTAATGTTATTTTTTACCATACGTTGTAATTTTTTTTTTGTACTGAAAGCATTGAAGATAATTGATGAAATTCTTATTGAGTCAGAAATTATAAGTGCATTGAAAATATTATAAAAATATAATATATAAATAAAATATAAACCTAATTTTAAAATTAATTTTATAAAATTGAGATAAACATCATTTTTATTTTATTTTTGAGAACGATATATCATATACTCCGTGTTAAAATATAAATGTCAGTCACTAATTAATTTTTTTTAATTAAGTATTTTAGAAAAGAAATCAAAAGTTGAACATTAATAGTAAAAAAAAAAAAAGAAAATCTTGTCAAGAACATTAATTATTGATGTCAAATAATTTTTAAAAATTCAAAAGGATATTTTTTCTTCCATTTGGGATTTAGATGATCATTCATGGCTTATTACAACTCAACTAGAACAATAATAAGTTATTATTTTTCATATAGGAAAATTAAAATTAATTATATAATACTAAATTCTATCCTAGTGCTAGAATGTTTTTTGACTTGTTGCTAAATTTTTTAAATATATACTTATTTGTTCAATAATCAACATATTATCGTTGGTGGGAAAAAATCAAGAATCTAAATCAAAAGAAGAACAAAGGAAATTCGATGAATTGGGAAGTAAAAAATCAATTATAAGTATTGAATGTGAAGTTAAGTGGGAAGTCGGGAGCGAGTTTAAAATACTTGATGACTTAGGTTGAGATCGAGAGAACAACGTACACATGAAACGTGATAACGGTTTTTAAACCGCTCGTAGGAGGTTTCCTTAAATAAAATCTATAAATAGAGCAAAACATGAAGAAGGAAGAGGAAATTGGCAGAGAGAACAGAAATACAAGTGAATAAGTCTACCGGAGAACGACGAATCATGAAGTTTCTGGCGATCTAGATTTCTATTTTCATTGATTGTTATTACCGCTTTCTGTACTTTCCCTGGTACTTTATCTTTAATGCAATCTAATTTTACGTGTTTTTACTTTCATGTTATTTCAATTCATTGTCATTTACACTTATGCAATTTTAAGATTCTGCATTTACACTTAACGCAATACATCTTTGTCTCGATATTTTTTAAAGTTGTCTTTACTTTCTCGATAATTTATCTACTTGCACGTGTAATTTAATTTCCTATATTTTCTAGTGATTTCGATTACTCTCGTGCAATTTTAATTTTATATTATTTACTCTTAGTGCAATTTAACTTTATGTACTACTTTTTGTTTCGACAACCTTTTTACAGCTTTCTTTACTTCAGTTAAATATTCATATTCTCGAGTTTCTTAATAAAAAAATACAAAAACAAGAACTTTCAAGTATGCTTTGTTACGTTTTTCGCGTTTCTAATATTTATGCTTTATTTCATCCATTTGGCTCGATATTTTGATATTTTCGCTTTACCTACATTTCTTTTGATTGAAAAACTGTTTGCTAGCCTAAATAAAAAAAATTTACGTGGTTGAAATTTGGTTAGAACCTAAGTCTACAAAGACATCAAAAACAACCAAAATTTTAACCAGAAACAACTATGTACATCACAAGTGCATCCATTCCTTTCTTCTTCTTAACTGTGCTAGCTGTGATTCAAGACTTGATCATGAAAGAAGTTATCAGAACAAATATCATAACAAGAGAACTGAACTTTTAGAAACTTTTGGTCCTTCTATGTGATTTTGATCCAAGTTAACTCAGATAACATGCGGGAGACAAAAAAATATTATTGAGAAAAAGCTCAATCTTTCTACTGAATCATGCGTTTACTTGGTGTAAACAGAGAATTACAAATGTAGTGCGAATACACTATATCATGCCAGAGGCGAAACTGTAGACCAATAAACAAGCATATTGGTAAAAACGCAAGTACAGCAATGGAAAAAGGAACAACTTTTGAACCATGATAATAGGTTATGAAGAAAGCACTGCTGAATGCTACCATCATGCTGATTATGGAAACAAATAGAGTCACTAGTCCAGATATCAATTTGAATGGTAGAGATCTGAGAAAATCTTGCTCAGCATACCGTGAGATGAGAATGGATAAAAAAATAAGAGTTGAAGTAGAAGAAGTGAACAATGCCAATGCATCTGATAATGCAAACACTGTGAATAATGGTTTTTTCAAATAATTGGGAGATCCTGAGTCATCCTTGGTACCACCTGGGACACTGAAGGCTGCTGAAAACACTCCTGTCGCGATTAGAGTCGAAACAACCATGCAAGAACTTGCTGTTCGCTTCATCCATGACTCACCCCTTTTTAACAATTCTTCATGTTTCTCAGTGAATAGGTCTTTAGGAATATAGCCTTCATTGTTTTTAAACTCTATAAATAATGGTTGCATGATCCTTTTTACCTCCTATCACACATCAATTTTTGGATATAATAACATTTATTAATACTTTACTGCTGAATTATACAGACATAAGTTAAATAAAATTGTGTTTGTTTCACAAATTATCTTTGAGAAGTGAAGTTGAGAACAAGCTTGCCATCTTTTCTACTTCCTTGTAGACGAAGAATATTTATTGAATGTCATATTTATGTATAAATATATTTTTATCTGTATATTCACCATATATACATTTATGATCTATATTATTCATGAAAATATGATTTTAAGAATTCAATATTATATCTAAAATCAAAGACGCTACTAAAGGTATAAAAGGATCATAAATAACTCGATGATTATATAAAAATAAAGGAAGAAACAAATAGAAGGGTGTATATATATGGTATGGACTGTACCTCAAACCATGTCAACTCGAGCATCATTTGAAGAGCTGCTCCAGAAACTATATTAAGTCGATCTGGAGGTGCTATTTCTGCAACACAATGGAGTAAGGTGCTTCCTTCATCATCCACAAACGTGAATAAGAATTCTTTTATTGGGCCTATTTCGTGTATCAAATTGAAGATACTTGCATGACGATGCAATGCAGCAACATGGATTATACTTCGACCCATCGTATTTAACTCCCATAATAAATCGGGATAAGTGGTCATAATCACAGATAAAAAGTCGAAATTTCCAACTTCTGCAGCAAGAAATGTTACTTGGGAAGGTTCCCTTATTTCAGTCATCATCTTAGAATCCTCCAAGGTAAGAAATATATTCCACAAGCTTTTTGTAAGTTTGAGGGCCGGAGGGTCCTTCAGCTTCATGCCTAGGGCACAGAATATAACTCTTGTCAAAAAACACTTCCCCGTGGAAAAATAACCTTAGCAGCACAAAAGTCATGACAATTAAACTACAAAAAAACATAATAATTAATACGTGATATTATTAGGAATTAAGAATTTTTTTGGATATAACTTCCGAAATAGTTTTTGTACAAATTAATAGAAACCTTATCAGTCGAATTGAGAGTTTAATAACATGCATAATTTTGAGTGTAATACGTGCAATAAAGCAATAAAATTTACGTATATTTCTACCAGTACAATACATGCTATCGAAGATAAACAACAATTGAAAATAAAAACAATTCAACGTAATGATTTTTCTATATAAGTGATTATTATAAGTACTCACACTTGCGCAAGAGTTGTTTTGGATATTGTAGTAGACTTCCGGAATCACAGTTAGAAGGTTTTCGAGCCAAAATATGTAAACCTGTCTCACCGTTTTCATCACGAGCAAAAGCTAGGGATTCCTTCTCATTTAGCATGTCAAGGGCAAGTTCTGAAACAAATACAAATGACGTGGATTTGAGACTTGAATGACCACACGATTTATAAAAGGAATAAAATGATGTTAAGGGTATGCTTAATTGATATATTCGTGGTTCACACTCATAAGTAAAGGAAAAATTTCAGTCGTTTAAACAACCAGAAAATAATCTTCCAAAGTCATCAAACCATTTTGGAATTTCATCATCAACTAAGGCTTTGTTAATTATTCTGCAAAAGGCATTTTGTTTTTAAAATTTGGTGTTTGAGCATGTTGTCAAGTGTTTGTCTCTAAATACATTTCTGTTTTCTGAGAACACATGGAGAGAATGAGAAAACATTACACAGTTATGTTTTTCTTTTAGTTTCTAACATACTTGTTTCAGACACAATTTTCTGAACTCGATAAATTTTGAATGAGAAATTCATTACCGATGGAATAATAAAATTGTTTTAAAAATCGATTTTTAAAACCAGTAAGTGAGAAGAGAATGAATCAAATCCTAGGATTTATTTCTTTGTTCAAAATATTATACAGAGGCATGCAATGTGCTTACCATAGAGTCCAGAGTTAATACAAATGAGAAACAATGTAAGCCAATCGTCTTCGTAGAGGCTTTCTTTACTTTTATCAAACAGATACCCAGCCATCTCACTTCTTCCTTGTAAAACAGCCAAATGAAGAGGAGTGACTCCGAGTCCACCCCTTATTGTTGGCAACGATACATTTTTTTTGCGCATTATCTCAGCAATGTGCACATTCCCCACTGCTGCTGCAAAGCAGAATGCAGTGTTTCCCTTGTCATCTTGCAACTCTAAATCTTCTCGTGACATTTCTTTCACGAGCTCCTCCACAAAGCGTTCATGGTTTGCTCCCACTGCAACGTGGAGGACTGTTGCCCACCCCTTTGTTATGGCAGATTTTAGCAGCGTGGGATCTTGTTCCAATATTTTTTTAGCCTCTTTCCAGTCACCTTTTAATGCCGCTTTGTGAAGAGGAACACATAGGGTCAGGTACCTGTGTCTGTCTTCTGCTGCAACAAGTCCATTGAAGTGTGTATTAATTCAGGTCTAAACATTTTATCCAATCTTGTCGTTGAGAAAGGGATATAATGATAGGTAATTGAAACTGTAAATATAATGAAAAAGATATCATTGGATTAGTGTTGAGTAGAATGAAAAACTTGACGTGGTGCTTGAATCATGATTAAGTTCATTTACATAATGAACTTGCATTTTAGGTTGTAACTTCCTCCTGTTCCTGTACTCAAGTTATTATATTTTCAGTGCTCCATAGTATGTATTGAAATTATGTCATGTGACATCTAGGATCATCTCTTCCCTTCTTGAAAACTTATTTTAAGATGCCAAAGAGTAGTAACTGTTAATAGTATCACATATAATGCTTGTGATTAGTTATCATATAATGATTATTTATATATCTACTCAAACTTATAGAGAACTAAACATTGTTTCAGTAAGGGGCAAGTTTGGGTTGATTTACAATGACCTATACCATCTTGGTGCATGGGGAGCCAAATAGAAGCATTAGTTATATGATCATAGAAGTGAACTAGATTTTGCGATGATTCAGATTGTTCACCCACAGAAAAAAATTTCACATTTTATGAAAAGATAGTTGGTAGAGTTTTAAGAAGGGACAGCAAGCTCACTAGTGGACACTAGATGAAGGAGAGGCCTATTAAACTGAGCTGAAGTAGCCCTTTGAAACAGTCTTTGAGAAGATGTTGAGTCTGATACGGCCATTTCTCTACAAACAGAACAAGCAATACAATTATACAGTATAACATCATATATTTTCATTAATTAGTTAAGCACTTTAATATCCATTGTATCACAATCTTCAAATTTTTATCATCTATTGGAGAGATGTAAAGTACTTCTTAAAGCTTTCCTAAAACCAGAGAAAAAAATGTTCTCTTTTGACTGAGATGTAGAGTACTTCTTAAAGCCTATAGATACAGAGTCCAACTAAAATTTTGATTGAGATGTACACAACATCATATTTGTAGTTTATTTATGGTTAAATTATAGAAAATATTTTGAACTGAGAAATACACAATAAAAATACAAAACAAAACAAAATTAATATAATTTTTTATAGGTAAAACAGTTAAACAGAAATACCTCTAAAGATACAAATTTTTGTCGTGTTTTGCTACAATAATCTTTTTCTTTGAGGGGATGGGGCTCAAGAAAGAACAATAACCATCACATTGGAGTACAACCCAGCCCACTAAGGCCAAATATATAAAGACAACAAAGTCAAATAAAGGTAGGTGGGACACATATTTAATTAACAAATATATATCTTCGGATTCCTAGAAATATAATGATTCAATCTAATTCCTGAAATTATATCTTGTTCTCATGTTAGTTTTAGAAACTAAAAAAAATTGAAAATAAAATTCTATATTTTTTAAAATTCAATTTTTTATTTTATTTTGGTCTCTAAATATGTTGTTATCATCATATAAAATGTATTATATGATAACATATTCATATACTTACACACTTATCATTTGAAAAAGGAAAACTTTAATGGTGTTCTTCTGCAGCACCAGTTCTGATACAGCTACTCCCGGATAATGTTCTCCCTCGGCAAATATACAACTGCTTATTTCACTTTACCTAATTTACAATAATCGTCATTTAATGCTTAAAAGAAAATCTCAGAAACTGAGTATTTCTTATTTCTGTTTTCAAAAAATGCAACTCAACAATAATTGGTGAAGGGTAAGGCAAGATAACTTGTAGAGTGCGAAATTAAGGAGTTCATTGAAAAAGACAAAAACTGAAAAAGATCTCTCAACACTTATTTGGGAACATTATTTAAGAAAACCAGTTCTAAAATCTGAGAACAAGGTTCAAAATTTACATATAATGTTCTGCCTTCAAAATTGCAGCACCAGGTGAGTCAAATCCAAAAAATATACCATGTAGAAAACAGATGCAAAAGAAAGATCTTTGAACAACAGAGAAAACATAGATGCTGAAAAGAGTTCAGAAAAAAGAAGAGAGAGATATGGTTGAGTCAGGTTCAACAAAGAAAGGGTGCAAGAGACAGAAGGAAAAGGGTAATAAGATTTGATTACCTAAAGGATGAGAAAATTTGATTTCCTTATTCTCTTAGCCCTGAACAATGATAGATTTTAGTTCCAGAACGTGGGAAGTTCATCTGTAGAGGAAGAGAAAGGTAAGTGTGTAGTGTTTGAGTTCTGGTTGGTCAAGAATAGTCCAAGTACATACAGATAAATGAATAAATTCATCACTTTCCAGGCTGCTGGCCTGAGTCAAGTCAATGATAAATAAATTATAAAAAGTATCTTTAATGAATTCTTCTAATAAAATTCTTAATATTTACATAAATTTCAAATTATGATCCATTGTGAAATTTTAAAATAAATTATTTAAGATCTATCAAATATTTATATGAAAAATCTATAAAAAAAGTAGGAATACATAATAAATTGTTATTGTATTAGTTTTTTTTTTTCTAAAAACATTTTAAACCAACATACCCAATATCTTCATTAAGAAAATCATAACATGCATTAGCAAAGTCGTAATTTACTTTAGAATTTATATGTTAAGAACAGAATTATATACCTTGAGTGGGATGAAAGAAAAGTATGCAGGTTTAGGAAAAAGAAGAAGAAGAAGAAGAAGAAACTGTTATTATCACATGCTGAAACAAGGAATCAAGGAGCATGTTTATTTTTAATATATTATGTTGTAAAGTAGGCAATAAAAAAGGAGATGGTTGTTAATGGGACTATTCTTTTAGAATTTAAAAGAACTAGTAAACTAATAAATGAATAATGATACCAGCACTCACCTTCAGGATCTAACTCTGGATTTTATTAACATATTTATCAATAAACTAATAAATGACATGTTCAGACAATTTTTTTTTTCAAATACTTTTAAAAAACTATTTAAAGAAATTTTTCCATATATATTCTTAATAAGGACTTTTGTTTAGCCATGAGAGTGTTTATTGATTGGTGGAGATATGATTTGTTGTTTTGAAGTCTCGAAAAATAAATTTATTTTTGGTTTGATATGAATTGATACAGTACCTATCTGAATAAGAGATAAGGCACAGAATATTCTGGTAATATATAGGTATTTATTATATATTTTATCGAATAGAAATTCAATATGTATTGTAAAAAATGTCACAGTTAATAAAATATTTTGACATATTTCATTTGCTATGCTTAAAAAAGCCGTTTCTTAAAAAAAAAAATATTATTGTCAAAATCGTGGATTCTTTGTACAAGAAATTTTATCTTAATAGTCATTCTTACAAAATATACGAGTTTCTTGACATTTGTTGCATTTTTTACCATTGAAGTGACATACAATATTATTTTTTTTTTATGAGTGATGATATAACGCTATATAGCTATATAGATCACGAGATATAATGTTTAATGCACTAAATAATTCAAATAGGGTTTTCTCATTGAAAATGTCCTAGAACTCGTTAAGTTTTTCTTGATGATAAAACACAGAAGGTGGTGATTTTTCATTGGTCATATCTTTTTTACATGGACTGCATTATGCTGAAAATTATTTTTTGAAAGTGGAATGGCATTGAAACAAAAAGGAATTAAATAGGATTGAAAGGTAGAGCCTTTAATTGATCAACATATTGTGTAGTTCATATCCCTGAGGTGGCTTGAAAGCAAGTGATGCTGAATTTTAACATTTATATGAATCAAGGTAAGACAAAACTTCCATACCAAAAAATTTTTTATCAAAAACAGTGTATGATACAATCAATATGTTCACAACTTTATATAATTGTGCATAGAAACTCACTATTTGTTAAAAACGAAAATTTTATGCTAACGTGTTTTAGTGAAGTGAAAATTTTGTGTTAACGTCTCTTTGCAGCAATCAAGCAAGAGATGTACATAAAGTGTGTTTGTAAAGGTAACAGCACAATCTCACTACATTGTTGTGCCCCCACCATCCGACATTAGAGATGCAGCAGCTGCAGCAGCAGTAGGTACAACACCAGTTGAAATGCCTGGTTTGGACAGGTGGAGAAGCCTGCAAAATTCACACCACACAGTTACATGTCCATGATTTATGTGAAGGAAGAAGATAATAAAAGCATGGTATTTTTCTGCACACCCAAAAGGTTGCAAAGCCACCAAAATTGATTACCGTTAACTAATTATTCTAATATGATGGTAAGACCTTCGACAATCATGACCGAGAGATATAAAACAAGCAAGAAAAGTTAACATTAAGAATGCAGTAAACCTTCAAGTTACTAACAGCATAGAAAGCTAACAGCTCCAGCCTCTACATGAGTAAAACATTCGCACTTGGTATAGAAAAATGTGCAATTGAGAAAGCAAAGAGGTTCTTACGGTGCAAGGTATTCACAAAAGGATGACACAGCAGCAGCAACTTCAGTGTAGGTTTCAGCAGCTGCAGGTGCTGTTACTTCGACCATTTGTATACCAGGTGTTACAGGAACGGCCTCGTCAGTTGCATGCACCTTCAGCATTTTATTGATTGATGAAACCGTTACAGTGATTTGTGCACCCCTGTAGAAATTGAAGGAAAATCCCACCCTCAGCAGCTCATGGTCTAACTTGTACCCTAGTGTATAAAACATACGAAGTACATTCTTGCTTGTTTTGCTTTCCACCACTGACCTAACCAGAACAGAAATTTGCTCCGCACCTGCACCCCTCATTGCACCACCTACATGTCTAACAGTCCTGAACAAGCCATCAATGTTAAATGGGTATTTGATTATGGAAAAAAGTTCTAACAAAGTTTTGACAATAAAGATGCATGATTTACCACGAAGGTTCAGCTTGCTCTAGGTCACACAGGAGTCGAACCTCTGAGGTCACAGTGCCTAGAAACAAAGGCCGTTAAATTTCATCTCTATCATGAAGATAGAACTCGATATATGCACTAATTGGAGACGGATCAAAACTGGATATATGCACTAAATAATTCAAAACTAGATAAAGCTGTAGAGGGAATCATACAAGATTTGAAAATATGTCATTTCTATCATGAAGATACAATACAGAATAAACCTCATCTTTATGGGTTTAAAGGAGCATGAAGCATGCCATTTAGATGCTAGTGTACTCAAATGCTTAAGGGTGCACTTGAAGCACATTGAAAAACAGCTCATGAGAAACAACTAGGTTCAAGCCAAGTAAAATCCAAGCGTTTTGCTCTGTCTGCTATTTGGTGGTCAATACACATAAGAAGTTCCAGAAATGGATTAAGAGTTCCCGCTGGGTACAAGCTTGATTGGGCTGTTCTCTATAATGTGGTACAAATTGACGGATTTGTTTAAAAAAAATTGGAGCTTCATATCATCTAGTTCTTCATTTGTTAGCAAATGAAATGCATTCTAAATCTTACTGCACATACTGAAACAAACATTTAATAAAGATTTCGCAATGAGCGGCAAAGTACAGATATCACTAAAAATATTAAGTCGTTTAATTATACAGTGGCCAGCCACTAATCATATATGGTATTCTGGATTTTTCATTCCAGGTTTAAAAAGAATTCTGGGTATTTTTTCATAATTTGAAGCAATTTTCCAAAATTGCATTTGGAGAAGGCTTATAGGGAGTAACAAAATGGAAATGTTGTTGGCCAAAAAATATCAAAATATTGAAATAAAATACTCACCCAGCTGTGGACCACTCTTGAGACATATTTCATGTATCCTCAATCGTTCTCTCTGAACACCACATAGTCCTTGAAGAAGAATCTCTAGGGCCTCAACATGCTGATAAGGATAACAAAATATTAACGGCCAAGGTTATCTTACACAGACTTTCCACATGAAAGTTTCTTTCTGAAAAAATGTAATACTAACAGAGCATATCTTGATTATCTAAAAGAACAATTATGGATATAGAGCAAACGAATGTTTACATTATTAATTCTGTTCAAGAAATAGTGTGATTCTACTATCTTCAATCAAATAATAAGAGCAAAAGTGTGTGCATGGTTGGTATAGCATAAATCTTACGAAATAATCACTTGTTTTTCCCAAGTTCTCTCAGGAAACTAACAAAAATGAGTGATTATTTCTTCAAATTTAAGATAAACAAAACCACAAACAATTAGGATGGTTTCCATGAGACACAATCTGTCTTATAATAAAGTAGGATAATATACCATCATGGATACCCAAGCTCGATGCAAGGTACTCATATAATGTTTACACTTCCCAGGATGTTTTGTAGATTTGTTACTCTGTTACTTTGTTTACAACCCATTTCCAACATGTCTCTAGGTATCCTTTTCTTAAAATGGACAAGATTCACATCCAACTTTCAATAACATCCCTAATTTTTTATTTGTTGATTTGGACTTATTTTGTTAACCAAATTTTGTTACCATTCCAAATAAAACTATGAATATTCATATTACAAAGGTGGACATCAGCCTCGCAAATTGCTTTTATAGATCCTTCAGTATGACCCTACAGACAGTTACAGGATGAAAATAAACACAAATAATAATTAGATAAAATATATTTCAATATAGTCCTTCTCTTCATTTCCACATCGAATATTCCCAGAGAGACACAAGAATGTGTTTTCAGTTGAAAGAGTCAGTTTCTACTTGAAGTCAAGTAGAAACTGACTCTTTCAACTGCAAACTCATTCTTGTGATTATTTAGTAACTAAATTTGTTTCTTCTATGCGCTTAACTTTTTCCTTTGCATTTCAGTTGAGAAAGGGGTTACTCAATCTACGCCTTACTACCTAGTGTCTAGGGCATTCGGTTACTAGATCATTAAGCAGCCTTCATGGCAGATACCAAACTCTAAATACAAGTAACATGCATGCAATCACGATCAGCATTCTAAAAATGGAGATTAAGTCATTAACACGAAACACAGTGAACTACAATAACCCACATCTAAAATTTCTCACATAAAGAGACAATGGCTGAACCAGATCAATTTAATTCCATAATATCTCCCATTTCTTCAAAGAAAAAGCCAGTTCCAATTAACAATTCAAATAAAACATAAACTCACCTGTGTCTCTATAATTCCCTGAACCACACATTCCATGTTCATTATGCTCACCTGCAGTATTACACAAGATATATGTATTATTAACACAATCTAACACTTGCAATAAATTCATCAACAAAACAGAGATGAAGGCCCTTGCTCTAGGTACTAGGTTCAAACCAACTCATATTTTAATCTCTTGGCACAGATCATCAGCTGTCAAATCAGAGACAAAAGCACTAACATGGGATTCTTGTAGTCTTCATGTATCTTAACCAACTCAACAGCTCGCGCTGATAAATCACAGGCATAAACAAAAGCATCTGGATATGATGCTATCACAGGAAATATAGTATGTCCAGCTCCACAACCAACCTCCAAAATCACTTTTCTTCCTCCTCCAGAAAAGTACTTGCCCTATCCCTTATCCAAATAGTGCCTATCTTTGAAAGATTTTGACCATTGTGGCGCTTTTAGAAAACATCCCCATACCTCTTGGCCTCTCTTTCATACTTCTCCCTCCAGAAAGGTGAGACCCCAGAATTTGTATTGGAATAAATTTGCAACCTTTGGGTTTGGGTTGGTGATTTTTGCACCCCTGTAGCCATTGCAGTGCATATTGCCTTTCTTCCAGTATCTCTGCTAGTGGTAAATACAGTTTCAAGCTTCGGGGTTTATCCCCTCTCCCAAGTTTTTAACCAATGGAACATTATCACTAACAGGCGAGAATGTAACAATGAAGAGTGAAGAATGAGAAAGGAATGTTGCGGAAACTAGAACTCAAATCATAAAAACTTGAAACTAGAAGCATTCATATTCTGTGATGCACGTAAAGAAACAATGGAGAATAAGAGGAGAATTGACCTGGTTAATTTCAACCTAGATAAAACGAAGAAATCTAGGTAACCTCAATTATCAACTCACTGATAGAGGTTCTTCAATCTTTAGAAACACCAATAAGCTTTTAATAGGAAAAGGGGAAAATCAGAGAGATGGAAGGGAAAAGATGAAGAAACAATTGACCATTTGAGCACAGCGAGTATATGAATTTCTTCCCTTCCACCTTATGATACGACGTCGTCCGTTACTAGAGTAGAATATATTACCCTTTTTTAAAAATTCAACCATTTTCGATGTAATAATTATAGTTTTCCCTAAGGGATAAATTGAGTTCTGTTTATCCAATTTAAAAAAAAAATATTTAAAAATCCATTTGGTTTCTAAGTATTAAATTTTAAATTTGAAAGACTTTTTTTTCAAAACTATTTTCTTGAACAATCAATTTAAACTACTAAGAGTTTTTTTTTTCCAAATTTAAGACACTATAGTGATTTTTAATTTAAATTTGAGAGATAAAAATAAAATTTTATCCAAATTTAAAAAAAATAAAATCATAATTAATTTTTATACATTTTATTGTTCTTTTTTCAACTTTTTTTTTAAATAATTCAAATTATACTAAATAAAAATGTTCAAAATTGTGCTATAATTTTGTTTTCAGCTGAGAGATTGTCATACTAACTAAAAACTATTTTACACATTTTTTTTTAAAATAGAGACATGCACTTTAAAATCTATAACTTTATTTTCCCTTAAATATATTTTAAAATATTTATAAATGACCGTTTTATTTCCTATAATTTTTTTATTTATTTTTAGAACCTTGGATATTTATTTTTGAGTTTTTACCATTGATTATAATTTATTTAAAGTTAAAAAATATTAACAAAGATAATTTAATTAATAAAAAGTATTTAAAATTAAGAGAGTTGTCACTAGCGAGGATTTAATATTTTTTTTTAGAATTAGAGATCGATACTTCAACCACTAAACTACTAGAATTTTTTTATAATAATTTACAAATAAATTATATTTATATACAAAAAAATATATATCTGTGTAAATATAAAAATATATAAATACAAATATATTTATATATTTTGATATATTTATAAAGTTATATATTTCTTTGTTGGATGTGAGTGCATGCTCGAAGGTGAAAGTGTGTGTCGAGTGGGTTTCCAAAATTTGATGTCAAATTTGTGAGCGGGTCTTTTTATATGAGTTTGTAATTTAATGATAAAATATAATATTTATAATTTATTTATACAATGATATAAAATAAATTTGGGAAACGCGTCATTCGCTCAAGCGACACATTCGCTCAAGCGACACATTCGCTCAAGCGAGGCTTGAGAGAGTGAATTTCCGTGAGCTTTAACGTATTTTCACTCAAGCGAGAGTTAATCCCACTTTCATCCTCGAGCGCACCATCAATCCAACATATAAATATATAAATATATAACTATATAAATATATCAAAATATATAAATATATTTGTATTTATATATTTTATTTTTATATATTTACACGAATATATATTTTTTGTATATAAATATAATTTATTTGTAAGTTATTATCATAAAATTATAGTAGTTTAGTGGTTGGAGTATCAATTTTTAACTTTAAAATACTCGGGTTTGAATCCTTTCAGTGACAATTCTTTAACTTTGGTGAATTTTTGGCTGGAAAAAAAAATAAAAACACTTTCCGAAAAATATATACAAATAAATATATATTTATACTGATATATATTTATTTGTATATAAATATAATTTATTTGTAAGTTATTATCGGAAAATTATAGCAGTTTAGTGGTTGGAGTATCGACTTTCAATTCTAAAATATTGGGTTTGAATCCTCGTCAGTAATCATTCTTTAACTTTACTCTCTAACTTTAAGTGAATTTTTGGGTGAAAAAAAAAATAAAAAACTTTTAACGCCGATTCATTTGGGAACCAATGTGGAATGTGTCAATTAAAAGACTCAATTCTCTAACTTTAAGTTAATTTTTGGGTGAAAAAAAAATAAAAGACTTTCAACGTACTTTCTACATTGAAATTGTATTCAACGTCACCTCAGTTTTAATCGACATTAAATGACGACGTAGAAAACATATTTTGTAGTAGTGTCACAAATTTCAAGTGTTAAACTTCTAAACTCAACTTTTTGAGAGACCATATTTTGTTTTTTACTTCTCACTATAACAAGATTACCACCAACAAATATAAAATAACCTGATATTGATAAATCTTTGAATGATCCAGCCCAATCAGCATCAGTATATACATCAATTTGAACAATAATCCTTTGTCAGGTGTTGATTGATATACCTTAAAATGTACATAACTATATTCATATATTTTTCTCTCAAATTATATATAAATTTGGTTAACAATACTTAATACATAGACAATATCTAATCTTGTGTGTACCAAGAAGATCAATTTTCATACAAGTCTTTGATACCTTAATTTATAGATCTTTCTCATTTACAAGTTACTTAATGTTCTTATTTCTGCCTAACGTGAGATTTCAACTTACACTTGAATTCTTAACACGAATAAACCAATGGGAGTTGTTTAATTTCTCACATAACAATGCATTATTTACATCAAATTGTTTCAATGGTCAATCCAAATTTGATGCTAAAGATAATAATACTCTAACAATATTAATTTTTGCTACAAGAGCAAATATGTCTATGCAATCAAATTCCATATATTTTGGTATATTCTTGTGTCACCAATCTTGTTTTAAATCATTATATTATACCATCTGCTTTGTATTTGACAGTATTTGACAGAATAAATCCATTGACATTCTATTGATTTCTTTCTTGGTGGACAATTAACAAGGGTTCAAGTTTTATTTTTTTAAAGTGAGTTCATCTTCTCATTCATAACAGTCTTCTATCTTAGGTCAACTAATATTTTCTACATATTGTTAGGAATAATTATAATAGATTGATTCATAAATATTATATTTGCTTTTGACAACCTATGATTAAATACATAATTACTCAGGTTATTTAACTCTATAAGAGAGTTCAAGTTCATAAGTATATTTAAAAATATTTTTAGTGAGACAATTTGATAATTGTTTTTTAATCAATAAATGATTAGTAATATCTTTATTAAGAATTTCATATGATATTTCAATATCATCTTCTTATAGAAATTCACAGAGTTCTTCAATATTATTCTCATTAAGAAGTTCTTATCATGCTTATTATTATTTCTAGCCTGATATTATTGTGAAAAATTCTTATGATGTTTTAAGGTTAATTTATTTTTTCTTTCTTAAAGAAGATGATACGAAGTTATAACACATAAATTCATATATTATGGGAACATGCTGCAGTTAAGGCCATTGCTTGGTCACTCACCAAAGCGGTCTCCTTGTATCTGGAGGTGGAACTAAGCATTCGTTTTTGGAACACTACAAATGGGCATTAACTGAAAAGTGTTAGACACTAGGAGCCAGGTCTGCAACCTTGTTTGGAGTAAAAATGTAAATGAGCTAGTATGTACTCATGGATACTCCCAAAATCAGATTATGGTGTGGAAATATCCATCATTGACAAAGGTTAGACAATAGTAACTGGAGCAGGGGATGAGACTCTCCTGTTTTGGAGTATTTTCTTGTCAATGAAAGCACCTTCCACTGTTAAAGACACAGGCATTTGTTCATTGGGAGACGCATTCAATTTCGATGATCCATTTGATGCCATATCACCAAGCAAGGAAAGAATATCTCAATATTATGTAATTAATTATCTGTATATGAAATATAGTACTGCATATATCATCAAATATGGACATAGGAACTTACAAATTTTATAATCTGGGTCTAAATTTAATGATACACTTAGTAAGGTTAAGGTTAAGGGACGAGGCTTCAATGTTATCTTTATTCCCGTAATACTTTGATGTTATTTTTATTGAGAGATTCTTATTATGTTTTAAGGTTAGTTTTTTCTTTCTTTTTTAAAAGATTAAATTCATCTACATATTTTATAAATTTAAATTTTTTATTGGTTTCTTCATCGAAAATTAGAACCTCATTTTTTATTTATTTTATTAAACATAATCAATTCATTTTTGTATAATCATCAATAAAAAGTGACAAAATTAATATTCATCTAAAGTTTTGATTTTAGATGAACCCCACACGTTAAAATATATATCACAAATGTTAAAGACTTTTATTTAAAATAAAATTGTATGACTCTTTACAAATTTACAAATATTACAATGAAAACTAAAAATATTATATTTTTTTAAAATAAAGTAAGAAATAAATTTTTTAAATACTCAAATGAAGCATGACTTAAGTGTCCATTTCACAACCAAATTTCAGATTTTTTTATTTTTCTGTTAATGCTTATTATGATTGATCATTTTTTTTTAAGATATAAGTAATATAAGTTTTCTATCTTAATAACATAATCAATTAATTGTTTTGTTTTGATATCTTTAAAAACATCAAGATAAAAAATTATGATACAAGATCAATCAAATATTATTTGAGAGATAGATAAAAAATTAAAATTTAAAGAAAAATCAATCAAGATCTAACATAGTAGTAAGATTTATAGACTCTTCCCTAATAATTTGGACTTTATTTCCATTTGTAATAAAAATATATTGTTATGTAAATAGTTTAATTTTAGTGACCTTACGAGGATTAAATGTTATATGATTTATAACTCCAGTAACAATAATTCATATATCATTAATATTAGCAATCTTACAAAAATTATTAATAATTATTTCTAGTGCAAATACTTTTTAATTTTGTTTAATAGTAAAAACCTCTTTTTTTAATTCTAACATTTATATCTCCGCTCTAGTACCAATTTAAAAAATATAAACTCAAATATATTTTTTGTGAAATAAAATATGTAAATCTATTTATAAGATGCGTACCTATTTAGTTTACTTAAAAAATTAAAATATTTTATGATTATATCAAATTCAAATAAAATAATATATAATTTATAAATTGACATTTTGTAAAGAGAATAAAAAATAATTTTCAACAAAAATAATTAAATAATTTTCATGGTAAAATATGTGTATGAATAATTTCTTCATTAATTGGAATTTGTGAGAAATTACAGTATACGAATCACTTGTCTATGCATATAAGATAATGACTTTTGTTTTTTTATTATAGTAACAAGGATGAAATAGAGACTTATTTTAGAGACAGATAATTTTAATCCTAATAAATACAAAAATCATTCTTTAGAATGACCTCAGATTTCCTAGTAAAGCACATGTTTCTTTGGCCGAAATATGAACCTAGAGAAATAGGCGGAGTCGACAATGTCTGACCATAATGGAAACAGAAGAAATGTGAATAAGGTTATTGGTGCAAGTGCAACTACAGAAATAAAGATTGGCACCCATTTTAGGCCATGGTAATATGTTATGAAGAAGGCACTGCTAAATGCTATCATCATACTTGCTATGGAGATAAACAGTGTTACCAGTCCACATATCAGCTTCATTGGCAGTGACTTGAAAAAGTCATCTTCTGCATAACGTGCTATGGTAAGCATGGACAAGAAAATGAGAATTGAGATTGAAGATGAGATGAGTGCAGTTGCATCTGAGATTGCAAATACTATGAAGATGATAGCATTGCAGTTGGGGTTTCCATTTTTATCATCATCACCACGTGGAAGGCTGAATGCTGCTGTGAACACTTCTGTAGCAATAAGTGTTGAAACTAACATGCAAGAATTTACCATGCTCTTCATCCAACATTCTGCTCTAGTCAGTAACTCTGTATGCTCTTCAGTGAATAGTTCACGAGGAGTTTTACCATTGGAATTTCTCTTCTCTATTAAACTAGGTGGCATCACCATCTTCACCTCCTGTAATATCAAACATATTTGATGTTCTATAATTTGAAAGCTATTCATAGCCTATATGGCATCGTGAAAAAATGCCCAGGATTGGAAAATAGAGACCAAAAAATATAAACTAGTATGATACTTCAAGAGGCAATAAACAGATTTTACAATGAATTATTATGATTGATGTACATTTTATCCATGACGTTTCATTGTTGAAAATTTGTTCATATAATTTTTGGTGTTTGTTTGGAATAAGTTTACGAATCAACTTCATTTTACAACTTGAGTTTGCAAAACCAACCTCTAGAAATTTCTTTCAGTTGAATTTTGGTTTCAAGCCAAGTAAATTATAATTTAAATTAAAGGAAAACAAACATCACCAAACTTAATTTACAAGAATAAACGTAGGTTAAAAGAAGCCAAATAGTAAACCAAACAAAGCTTAATTACAATCCAAATTTTCTAACTTAATGATAATTTAGTCTCCGATTCTGTCAATTTTGGGAAAATTTAGTCTCCAAATTTCGTAAACACTGGGAGGACTAATATGCTATGAATTTGACAGTTTATGAACTAAGTTTTATTTACACAAACAGTTTCTATTTACTTAATTATTATTGACTAAATTTTGGAAATGAAGGAAAATAACAAAAGTGCAGAATACATGCAAAGGTCATGAACATAAGCTTGGGAGAATGCATGAGCTTTGGAAATTAAGAAGAGATACCTCGTACCACCGTAACTCGTGCATCATCTGAAAAGCTGCTCCAGACACCAAGTTAAGTTGGCTTGGTGGTGCTAATTTTGCAGCACAATGCAGTAAATTGTTTTGATCTGCATCTTCATATGTTACCAAAAAATTTCTGATAGATCTTATTTCATGTATAAGATTAAATATGGTTGCATGGCGATGCAAAACAGCAATGTGAATGATGCTTCGATTTTTGGCATCAACATCCCACGTGAGATCCGGGTAAGATCTGACCAACTCGGCTAAAATCTCAAAATTTCCAACTTCTGCGGCAATGAATATTACTTGAGATGGCTCGTTTATGACACTTTTCATTTGTATCTCTGTGCAATCAAGAGACAGAAGGGTATTCCAAAGGCACCTTACAAGTTGGAGAGCCAAACTTGGATTCTTACCTATCACAGATAATTTCACAATTTGTTTATATTATGACAAACTATAATGACCATGAAATTAGTAATCTCATTGTAGCTAATGACTATGTCTAGAATATGAAGAAATATACTATCTCCCCTTCCACCTTCTAAAATGATTTTCCCTTGTTATGTGAAATAAACAAGATTCTTACGGTTCTGAACAATCTTCATGTGACATAACTGAGTTTTAATATTGGTTATTTTTCTTGAATTGAAAACTATATGAAAACTTATCAGAACCATGCACATGTGGTAGTGTTAAAACATTTAACATTTTTTTCCTGCAAAGACCCTTGTTAAATGTATAAACGTATATAGATGTTCATGAAGTTTTAAACAACATTGATTACAGAGACTTACGTGAGCTCATAAGCTGGTTTGGATACCTTCGACCTTGACAACTAAAAGCTGAAGGTTTTCGTGCCAAAACATGCAAGCCTGTTTCCTGGTTCTCATTCCGAGCCACTGCTAATATCGGATTATCTTGCAACATCTTTAAAGCTAAATCTGCAAAAATTCCAAGAGTTTTCAAGATTGCAAATCTCAGAGTTTTAAAGAAATTAAGCAAAGGTAGAGGACCTGAGGGACTATAATATACATAATACGTACCATAAATACCAGTGTCGATACAATGAAAGAACAAAAAATTCCAGTCTTTATCATCGAACTTGTGAACTGTACTAGGGTAGAGATACCATGCCATTTCACTTTTTCCCTGTAAAGCAGCCAAGTGAAGTGGGGTGAGTCCCTGTCCACCTCTGATAGTTGGCAAACTCCTATTTCTTCGGGCCATTGCTTCTGCAATTTTGACATTTCCAACTGCTGCAGCAAAACAGAAAGCTGTGTTGCCTTTGAAGTCTTGTATTTCCAAGTCATTCTGGCTCAGTTCTTTCACCAGCTCCTCTACAAAGTGCAAGTGATTTGCTTCTGCTGCTACGTGAAGCAGTGTGGCCCATCCCTGTGAGATGGCTGCAGTTGCCAACCTGCTATCTTCCAATAACATGGTTCTAGCTTCTTTCCAGTCCCCTTTAATTGCAAGGTTGTAAATGGGAGCACATTTTTTGACATAATCCTCTTAAGGAAACATGTTAGATGCATGTATTATACACCATAATTACATATAGAGAGTATTTTTTTTTTTTTTTCTGTTAATTATTTCCTTAGGAGTGAGAGATAGGAAGTACTTGTATTCTGTAATAGATCACATGAAGGACTTCTGCATTCAGCTGAAGAAAATTTATGAATGACTATCTGTAGTTCTTCTGGATTTGTCGTGCTTCGAACTTCCATAGCCATTTCACTAAAAAATAAAGATTAAAAAAAATCACTTGAAGCCATTTCTATTTTTTACTAATTAAGTTATTTTAAGTGCAGTGTTGAATTATGTTTTCTTAATTAAATAGTTTTTGTTCAATCTCTTTGGTTATCTATCATGCAAATTAATTATAAATTAATTAAATATTACCATTTAACTCACTAAAATTAAAAATAATTAATGAACGGAAAAATATAAACGTGAAAGGATTAAATTAAAAGACAAAAAATATTTAAATTACAAAAGAAAGAAAAAACAAATTAAGACATGGTAAACAATAAATTAATATAGAAAATAACTCACCTGCATATGTGTAATAGTTAAAATTTAAAGGAATTTAGCAGATGAAATTATTTAAGTTTTAAAAAAATAATGAGTCAGTAATTTATTCGAATTCAATAGTTTAATTTCTTCAAAATGACATAAACTAAATGACAATGAAAAATAAACATAGTTGAAAAAGAAACTATTGTTAATATTATCGATCACAGGAAATTTACTAAAAGTAAGAAATATGTATTTCATACATTATATAAATTTTTTTAAATTAAAATAAAATATGATTTGAAAGATTATATTTTAATGAAACTATAAATTATAATAAAGTTGTATATAATTAAGTAATGTTTTATTCTTCAAATGAAAATATATGCATGTTAATAAGAAATTTATTCTTAGTAGAGTGGCCACGCTATGTGCGTTAATTTTTCTAATGTATGAAAATAAGAAGGGATTCTTAAAAGATAAATTTAATGAAAATAGTCATATATATATATATATATATATATATATATATATATATATATATATATATATATATATATATATATATATATTTTAAATCGACAATTATCATAAGTTATTTTACTAGAGGATACGGTTAACTATTTTGACATTGCTTAGAAACAACTAAAAATTATATATTTATTTATAAAATTTGTCTCTTTATTTTGGTTATTTTTTATTTTTGTTTTCTTACTTTCTAGACCGATAAGGTACATATATGATTTGAAAGTGGAATTCCTCAAATATTTTTTTTCTATTTAAAAAACGTAACATTTTTTTTTATCATATTCTTGGGATGTTTATCAGCAATGTGAAATATGAAATTATTTAACTGTTTAGTTTAAATAAAAACTTAATGAAATTTAAAGGAGATTGAAGAATGTGAGATAATAATTTGAAGAATGGAGGATTGATATTTTTTATTTTGGGTAATCTTTTGTGTTTTGGTTGGTGAGTTTAATTGAAAAAAGTTTAAAACTCTTTAATTAGTTCGATTTGTATCTGTTTTTAGTAAATAAAAAGAATAAAAAACTATAAATTTTTAGAGTTTAGATAGAAGAAAATTGATATTTTTTTTCTTTTTTAAGAAAAAAAGAAACTAAATCATCACGGCATCAAACTTTAATGATGAAAGAGTACGAGATATCATCACTGATATTGTCTTAAAGTTGTTGACTTTTTTTTTGTACGGACAGAAACAAAACTTCTATCTTTTTTTTTTAATTTGTTGAGATCACTATGAATGGATTATTATTTTAATTTGTCAAATTAATTTTCGAACTTATTATTAAGAATTAATTAACCTCATTTATATTGCCTTGCACATAATATTTTATGTGGTTATAGATCACCATAAACTATGAGGTGATTTTGAATTATCTTACGTGTTCCAACTAATTTTTACAAGATATACATAGTAAATTATTTGTAATTTTTTTAATAGTAAAATTTGAATATGTATTATATAAATATAGTTCAAGAGAAATTTTCTAATTTTAGAGATTATGATTCTTGATAATAATGATGAAAATTGGTTTGGTTGAACAGAAATATTTTTTTTAGAATATTTTGGAATCAAAGAGTAATATTCCATTTTTAAAAACAATTGTATATTTATCGTACTAAAAAGTATTCATAAAAAATATTGTTTTTGAAAATATTATATTTTAAAATATACTCTCTTTTCTTACACGTATAGTCATGCACTTTTAGTCTTGCCCATGCAACACCATGATAAAGCAAACAATAATATTAGGGTAACTACGTGGATGACAGAGTAATGATTTTTGGTTTTAATTTGCCATATATAAAAGTAAACTATGAATACACACTTTTTCTCTCAGTGGATTAGAAAACCCTGATGTTCCCCACCTCATCAAAGCAGCTACATGAGACATGATCCTTAAATTCATGAAAAGAATAATAATATATTTGTTCATCAATCATATGATACCTGATTTCCAAGTTTTCACACAACCCTTTTCTGCTCCACATGCCTGCCACAAATACGACCAAATGATTGTCACAAGAAAACCTTTGCGACTAAAGAAAACTTCCTGTAAAACGTAACTTTGAGGTTAAGAAACAGTAAAAAAAAAAACCAGAAAGACACAAAAACACAACCTCTGATGTATTTATATAAGAAAGAGGGATTAAAAGAGAAGAGATAATAATGAAGAAGAGAGGATTAAAAGAAGAACCCTAATAAAGTAAATATATATATAAATAGGATTGAATCAAGCATGCACATTAAAAAGGAGATGAAAGAAGGAAGAAAATGGGAAAGAGGGAGAGAAAGTTTAGGAGGGAGCACACACTTGCCACAAGAAGAATGGTGCTGTGGACTAAACGAAGGAGAAGTGAAAAACTGTTTTTATAGCACTAAACTGGAAACTTTCAGGAAATTGAGTTCTCTCCTTTCTCTTTGTCCATATTTGCTGTGGGAAACAGACAAGACACCATAAACCCATTATGTAAACCAGACATGAGACACATCATTTTTAAATGGTCCAATAACCTCCTCGTTCATAGCATGTAGAATTTTTGTTTAATATCTAGAGGAATATTTTTTGTTATCTGTTTCTAGTTCTAATCTTAAAAAGAAAAAAAAACAAGATGACAATTAGTTTGTAATAAAAAATCATTGCAGAAAATAAAAACATACCCAAGGGTTTGTTGACTTGCACTTTCATTTTTTATTTAAAAATTATAAATATGTATCATGTTTTCTATTTCAAATATTTGCATAGGAAACATTAGATACAATTCTTTATTACTATTATTATTAACAATTTTGTCAATAAATTAAAAAAGCGAAAAATAAAAAGATAATAGACTTAAGTAAATGAGATGTAAAAAATATATGACGTGCTAAGCTATATGACATTCCCTAATATTCAGAGGTCCAAACAAAGTATAAGGAACATACAGTTTTAAATATACATTATACACGACTTGTAAAATGAAATAAATTTTACTTAATATATTTATATGATATAATTATAAAGCATGGCGTGGTTAAAGAAACATTTTTCTATATTGAGAAATTGCGAGGCAACATGATATGGAATGAAAGTCAAAAAGAAAAGCAAAGTTCTATCTTACGTTCTTGGTCGTCAATGAGACAATTATTGAAAACCAGTGTCATTTTTGTTTTGGGGACTGTATTTAGTCCATATGTGATCTAAGAACATAGACATTTTGGTTTAATTTTCACTGTTCTATGATGGATATATGAAGGTGCAAAGTAGCATTATGTTATAAACTCAATGCATTAAGCAATTTGGAATCTAAGCCATGGTGGATGCGTCAAGTGGAAAGACAGAAGATTGGGGCATGATATAGAAGTTTGGAAGGGAAATACTTTATGCATACATGAGTGTGGTCCACTTAAACTTTTTAATTTTTTATATGTTTGATAACAGAATCTTAAATAGATACTTATTGTGCCTCTAATTCTTTGCTGTTTTAAAAAGTGGTGGTGGAATGAAGGAGCATTTCTATGAGTACCTCAAATTTTTTATTCAACCAGAACACTTTGGTTATTTTATGGTTTAGGTTTCGTTGTTTATAAGTTTTGATTTGGTCTTCTCTGATTATTTGAGATATCATAGTTTTATAATGATATATTTAATATATCATCTTTAAAATATAGCACATTTTTCAGCCACAATATATATATATATATATATATATATATATATATATATATATATATATATATATATATATATATCATTATATAGCATTTACTATCAATCGATGAATAATCATGCTTAGTATGATTTTTAAGAATATTACAAATGTAAAACACTTTATTTTAACTTCAAATATTAGCAAATTCAAAACAAGTAGTGAAGTTAGTGCTGCTACTGTTACGTTCTAATATCAGAAGGGTTCACCATTGTTTATAAAAAAACTAAAAAATATAAACTTGTTTAAAGAGAATATTCGTTGTGCAAGTTTTTGTACCCGTGGAATGGTTTGGAGTAAATGAAAGAGTTTCAGAAGTACTTTTCAAAATGAAGATAAAAGTGAGTTACACTCAAAATCTTGTCTTTTGATTTGTTTGGGAAGAGAATCCTGAATAGATTTTAATTGGTGATTTACAATTCCGCGTGGGTCAGTCTATGAATTAGTGAGTGGCAGAACACGAAGTAGAAAATCAATCAATTTTAGGAAGGTTTGTTCCCATGGAGTGAAACATGGGAGAATCCGACATGGATTTTATAAAATCAAGTGAAGAATGTAATGTTCTCCAACGCCACATGTCCCTAATAAAGTGAATCCCCTAAGGATCCACTCTTTGAAATATGTTAAATTTGGGAACCACTTTATTTATTTAATTTTTTTCTTATTCTTTAAATAATATCAAAATAATTTTATTTTAGTCCTTATTTTAAACCAAAACTAGTGTATATGTGTTTTAATAAATTTTAGATTAGACCAAAGGGTCAATTTAAGAGTTTGGATTTGATAATTCAAAGCGATTAATTATAATTGGATTGGTTACGATTCGAGTTAGGTTTGTTATTAGATTTCGGTCATTTTTTTAAAATATTTATATATTAAAATTATAATAATAAGGATTATAGTTAAAAATATTATATTTTTATATTATATTAATAAAATATTTAAATATATTATAATATTATAATTTAAATTATAAAACATTAATTAATTAAAATTAAATTCAAATATATTTTTAAAAAATTCATAAAAAAACAAAGAAGCCAAGATTGGACTTCTATGGGGAAACAAACATCGGAAACCAAAAAGAAAATACTACTGAGGGGGATAAAAGCCATAACAAATCTTAAATCTCAAAATTTACATAATTTTTCAAAGTTTTATTCGTAGTTAAAAAAACATTTTTATCATTTTAATTCTTGTAATTTTTTTTATTATCAATATTTATTATTTTTACTTTTGTAACTATGTATATAAATAGTCAAAATAATTTTTTATGCCAGATGAAGTTAAACTATAACCTAGACTAAAAGAATTAATATATGCCAATTATTATTTAATTCAATAACATAATATTTCTTTTAAATAATTAATACAAGAGACATTCTAGATTGGCTTTATAAAAATGACCAAGCCTAATTTCTAGTTCTGGTCTAATATAAATTAATTAAAATACTTTTCTTTCTCCTTCCTAAAAATTTTACTGAATAAATAACGACTTCTTAAATAAAAATGTAGCCAAACAATCACAAGTTTAAGAATACACTTTATTTTTCTATCTTTCGCGAGTTAGTTTTTTTTTTATTTATTACAAAACTAATTCTTAGTTCGAAGAAATCATACAGCATACAACTATAAGCTATATACAGATCAGCCAAATGGCTTCTGGTTTTCTGGCAAAGCATTTACTTTCTTGGCCAAAATAGAGACATACAATGATGAGAGGAGTGGATAATATCTGACCAAAGTGGTTTGAACAAGGGTATTGTCAGAATCGAAAGCCCGAAAAAAAAAAATGGAACCCCTCTTAAACCATGCGAATATGTTATGTAAAAAGCAGCACAGAACGATATCATCATGGTGGTGATGGAGATGATTTGTGTGACCATACCAAAGAGTAACTTGTAAGGGAGGGACTTGAAACATTCATCCTCTGCATAACTTGAAATGAAGATGGACAAGAACATTAATATGGAGGCTGATGCTGATATCAGTGCACAGGCAACTGATAAAGAAAATACGAGAAATGCCTGTTCCTGCAAATAGTTGGGAGATCCTGAGTTCTTATTGTTGCCACCAGGTACCATGAATGTAGCAGTGAAAACTCCTGTGGTTATGAGTGCAGATACAAGCATGCAGTTAATAGCTGTGCTCTTTGTCCATGACTCTGCCTTTGTCAGTAGTTCTTTATGCTTCTCAGCAAATATTTCACGAGCACTTTTGCCTTCAGCATTTTTCTTCTCTATGTTTACTAGCAGCATTATTTTCTTCACCTCCTGCCATATCAAAGTATATATAATGTTAAACTATATGTAAGAGGATTTGTATCAAAGTTAAACTATTAAAAAAAAGCTTTCACGTCACGAACTGTTGCTTGAGTAAGAGTAATTATAAACTACCATGCATGATTTAAGCTTGAAACCAGTATCAGAATTGAAAGAGAAAGGTCAATATATGCATAATATAGGATCATATATAATATTGTATGACAGACACAGGTATTTTGAGATTTGAGAATATACCTGGAACCATAGTAATTCATGTGTCATTTGAAGTGCTGCTCCGGAAATTAAGCTGAGTTTCTCTGGAGGTGTCAACATAGCAGCATAATGCAATATGCTGTTTCCTTCATCGTCTTCAAAAGTTGCTATGAAATCTTTGATGGAACCTAGTTCGTATATTAGACTATAGATGGTTGAATGGCGGTGAAGAACAGCAATGTGAATTATGCTTCGGTTTTTCTCATCCACTTCCCATAATAGATCAGGGTAGGACCTCATAAGTGTGGCTAAAAATTCAAAATTTCCAACTTGTGTAGCATCAAATGTTATTTGTGATGGATGACTTATGAAAGTCCTCAATGCTGTTTCATCGTAATATTGTTCGAGAAGCATGCTCCAAAGACAGTCAACAAGTTGGACGAATGGAGTTGCCTTCATGCCTGTTACTCATTATACTTTGACTGTCATTAGAAACTACTGATTAAGAAGTAAATTTTCTGATTTAAGGAATCAGATATAATATTTCAACAACTTGAAAAAAAATAAAAAAAAATCTTTCGATTAAGTTAAATTATTATTATTTTTAAAATAAATTTTCAAAAGTTATATTTAATAAAGATAAATAAATTGTACATAGTTCAATAAAATTGTATATTATAATTCAAATTGTGAAATTATAAATCTAATAATAGTGTATGAATTCAAGATATTTATTTTTTATAAATTTTAATAATGATATGATTTATATTTTAAAATAATCTTTTATAATAATTTTTAATTATATAAAAAAAAATTACACATGATCAATATACTAGTTAAAAGCATTTATCAGTGGGTAGAGTGTACGACAAACCCTAGTTTTGCACGTAGTTAACAGCGATTATAAGAACTTACTAGAGTTCAAGATCTGGTTTGGATGATACCATTGTCCACGCCCACTAAAATCACTAGTCTTTCGAGCCAAGAGATGCAAGCCTGTGTCGTAGTTCTCATCCCTCGCCAATGCCAGCATTGAGTGTTGTTGTAGAATTTGCAAAGCAATATCTGCAAAATTTTCCAAATTTTCTAGCTATGAAGGAACGCATTGCTGCATGGTAAGTGGATTACTCAAAGTTTCTGTGAAAACTGCACTTGATTCAGTGAGATTCATAGCCTGAGTCATTAGCATGTGGTCCTCATGAAAGTTTTTGTGATCCTATGTCACTCATAATCTTGTCCATCCTCGAAGTTCACTAAATATATATACGTTGGTGTAACTGAATTACGGAAAGTTCAATGTATTTTTATCCTTTAGTCAACATTAAAAGTTGAAAATATTTAGAAAATGGCATGTGACAGAATCATTAATTCATAAGGCTATGATTCAGTTGGAAAATTTATTAGCAAAAAACTCAGGGTGAGAAACCTCGTTCATTTGAAGAGTTGCTGATTATGACTACATCACAAATTGTGTACATCACTTTTTAATCTTGATTTTGTATGATCAAAAGTTTATCTATAATGTACTAGTTTTCATTTTTCATAATAAGAGTCACTACTTATCACTCTTCAATACAAAAACTCATGTAACTTTAAAGAGATATTTACGAAGAAACCATGTAAATAATGATGAATCAAGGAAGAACTAAGGAAAATTAACTGACCATACAATCCAGTTTTTATGCAGAGAAAGAACAGCATGGTCCAATCGTCTTCTTCCAAAATGCTGGTAGTGAGAGGGTAGAGATGCCTTGCCATTTCACCTTTTCCCTGCAAGACAGCAATATAAAGAGGAGTGGCTTCTTCTCCGCCCCTGATTTTTGGTAGGCCTTCATTTTTCTTGATCATAATAGCAGCAATTTCCATGTTTCCAGATGCAGCAGTATGGCAAAACGCTGTGTTTCCATTGAAATTTTGCAGTGCCAAGTCATCTGGGTTAAGTAATTTAACCAGGTGATTCACAAAGTGAACATGGTTTGTTCCTGCCACAACATGAAGTAGTGTACCCCATTCCTTTGTTATGGCGGCGTTTAATAGACTGGTGTCTGCATCTATCATGCGCTTGGCTTCATTCCAGTCACCTCTCAGTGCTAGCTTATAAAGGGGTACACATTTCTGCAAGTATTCCCCTGAACAAATTGCACTGCCAAAGCATGAGTTTATCTACAATATAGAATAGTTCTATGTCCATCTGTATTCTGTTTGTATTTGACGATCACCCTGTTTGAGAACACTACTAAAAAGGTATAAAACACTGTCTTAACACTCCAATTTGTGACTACCGACAAATATAGAATTGTTATTAGCAACCAAGTTATTAGTCTCTAAAATAATTTTTGACAATAATCTTGATAAACTAACTTTAAATACCGATTTAAATTTTGACTAAAAATTAGTTTAACTAAAATTATTTCTAACTTTATTAATATAATAAATAAATATTTTTTAATAATGGAATTATCTTTTACACCTTGTATCATGAAAGTTTTGGCTTTTCAACATAGAGAAATGATTGATAAAGTATATGGATATATAATTAATGTCGCACTTGACTTTTGGCTTTATGCCAAAACATTATTTTAAAGGTGATGTTACGATCACTACACTAAAAGAAAAGCGTGAGAAGTTTTACATTCATAAATGCATAGAAATGTTGTGAAGATGAGTTATCTTATGGAATTGCGTTGATTATAAAATTAGACAATGATGGCATCACATGAAGAAAAGTATGAGAGAGAGAGAGAGAGAGAGAGAGAGAGAGAGAGAGAGAGAGAGTACTTCTATCTTCTAGCATGCGACGAGAAGGATATGAAAGGTGACGAGGTGAAGCAATCTGAACCACATGTGCTTCTGGTGATGACGCTGGGTTCGCATTTACCATCTCCATGTTTCTGCTAAAAAAAAATATAAGACATAGATAAGATCATGGTTAGATGAGATCATATGACACAAATATTGAATGTTGTTATTAATATAAAGTATGAGTTATATAGATGTAATATGCACATTATTAATTTTAAGTCAGTGTCAGTAAATATGACTTGGTGTATGTCATACTTAACTTTTCTCTTACAATTTAACATTAATAGAAAAACAACATTGATTTTTTTTTTAAAATAAGACTAAATTAATAATATTAAAATAATAGTAAAATAAATTTGAAAAATATAAAAAGAATAATAATGAAACGAAAAAACAAATTTGTAAAAGCTTTTTATTTCTCATTCATATTTTTAATAATACTTGATTTAAATTAGTTTCTTGTTTTAAAATTTGCAGAAAATCAGAAAAACAAATTCGTACAGTTTACTATGCAAATATTTAAATTTTTTTAGCTAGATAACATGATATTATCCTCTGAATGTAACCAATAAAGCATATTTTTTCATCAGATAACCTTATTATTTAATTTCGTAATCATCGGACATGCGTTTGAATAAAAAACACCATACATATAGAAAATGTCACAAAAGGTTTTTGCACCCAAAAACCTTTTGTGAAGGTAATCTTTATTATCGGTTAGTGTTAAATGGTGGCCAAACATGAACTATTCAAGTCTTTAATATAATTTAATCTGTATATTTAATATTACAAATAGAGTCATTATCATCTTTAAAGCTTTTGGACATTGACCCAACAAAACCTCAAGTCTTCGCAATACAAACATCAAAATCAAATCTTATCAGATATTCAGATCTTTCCTTATGCTAGCTTGCTTCTTAACCAAAGTTGGTTACTGAAAACCAGTGTACGGTAATATCTAATATAACCTACTCTATCCATTAACAACAACAAAATAAGAAACAGATTTTAAAATGTAATAGATTGAATAAGATCAAAGAAGATACCTGAAAAGTGGTGTAATAGAAAGACTTAATTAGTTTTTGCATACAAAGGAAGAATAATATGGTAAGTACAATAGAAGAAGCTAGTTTCTGATAAATTAGGATTTGAGTTCTCTCACTAAGATACTTGCATTGATTAGTATCCACCTAGGCCTGTGCTTCAAACCAAAGAAAGATTCTTGTAGAAAACAAAGAGGGGGGCCAAAAAGGTTAGAAGGAAAGGATTTGAAACTCTTCAATGAATATATATATATATATATATATATATATATATATATATATATATATATATATATATAGAGAGAGAGAGAGAGAGAGAGAGAGAGAGAGAGAGAGAGAATGTCTTCAAATAGTTGTTGTTGTTGTTGAAGAGTTATATTCCACCAAGGTTTGAGAAAATATAGATGTAGTAAGCAAGAGTTAGAGAAAAGATTATGAGTTACCTCAACCAGTCTTCGAACATGCAGAGTTAAGAGCTGCAACCGTAGGAAGTGGAGACATCACTTTATTGTTTATCTATACCTTCTTCAGTGTTTGTTATCATATTTAAACGAAGCTTTTGCAGATTCAGTGTGTAAGTGGGGTGTGTGAGCTGATTATCCTATGAATCAAAACCAGACTGCTGTGTTTAGGCAATGAAAAAGTATTAACTTATGAACAGGGAGCAACAAGATAATTCTCAGACTCAAAGTAAAGCAAAATTCTTGTTATCATAAGGCTTTATGTGGGTCAATTTTCCATTATGCTTTATCATTCTCGACCGTCCAAGAATAATTTAATACAGTAACAGACAAAACAAAAGGGAAGTGGACTCTTCAAACTATTCACCAAAAAAGCAGTATTAATTATACCGTTTTCATCTTTCATCCAAGAATTGGAACTCTTCCACAAACTAAGCATTTCTTAAGCCTCGTATTTTATCTCATACGTATAGTTAAAAATAAAAAGAAATATAAATACATAGTATGTTCAAACTACCTCAAAGCTTATTTAGCTTTATTATTGCCTGATAATTTTTGAACAGAATAGACTAGTTCTGTAAAAGAACTTATTTTCTTAGTTCATAATGTTGTTTGAAAGAATTTTAAAAAGTGTTTTAAACTTCATCTTGATCTGTAATTATTTAAAAAGTGAAATAATTGAATTTAAGAACATGAAGACATGTTGGCAGCCTCAAATGTTGTGCACTATGATAGGAAAAGGTTGTTTGGCTGTGTTCCATGATTTGAGGTTAATAATACAAAATGACAGCAACTTGGTTCTGTGTAGGAAACAAGAACGGTTGTGGCCACCAATGAAATGACATTGTGAACAGAAGAGTGTACTCTTTTACGTCATTTGCTTGCGTCGCTTCTCTAAAATTTCACGTCACTAATTGCATTTTAGCTAATTATTGACTAACTGTTATCAACTATTTCAGAAATAATATTTTCTTTTTATCTATTTATCCAGCTAATCTTACAATTAAAAATATGTTTAGAAGAAGACAAGTACATTCCTTGTATCTAAGTTCACACCTACTTTTGAAATAATTCAAAACTTCTAAACTATTCCCTTAACCATTGTCCTTAAATAAGAAAAGTTCACACTGACTCTAATTTTAAAGAAATTAACATATATTTATGCTTTTAAAAATATACACAGAATAGTACTTCAACAAATAACATGATTAAGAAAAGCAAACCATAATTATATTTAGAGCAAATATATATATATATATATATATATATATATATATATATATATATATATATATATGTATAATATAGTTTGAAGTGGTTAATTATTTACCCTTAATCAGTTAGCCATTTTTATATATTTTGTGAGCATATACGTTATTAAGACATTATATATAGTACCAAAATTATCAATCGTAACATAGGATTTTGATTAAATAAAAACCGATCCTACGAGGAATAGTTTCAATAGAAATTCTCAATTATATATTTATTAAGTAGATTAAAACAGAATGAATTTCACACAAAGAGTTGAATTGAAATTAAATAAAAAAAACTGTAAATTGTTTAGAAAATATCAAGTAAAGGCACTTAGGATTGACTTCCTTCATTTTTTCTCTTTTGTAATAACTATGTCAATTAAAAATATCAATTAACCTAACAATGTTAATTACTACAACAAAAACATCAAATAGTGACCGAAATAGTAATCAACCCAAATCGGTCATTAACAAAAACATTAAAAAATTAAAAATATTTTTTTATAACCTCCCTTTTATATTATTATTAGATTGAAAGAATTATCAATTGCAGGATTTGAACTCGATATCTTAGAATTAGAGATTAATACTTCAACCACTAAGCTACTAGAATTTTTTGATAATAATTTATAAATAAATTATATTTATATACAAATCAAAATATATATCCGTGTAAATATAAAATATATAAATACAAATACAAATATATATATATATATAATGATATAAAATAATTTTTTTCTTTATTTATTTTTATTTTATTTTAATGTATTCTTCTTAAATTTTTTTCTTCTATTATTTAATTAAAATTCTTATATTAAAATAATTTTTTCAATATTAAAAATAATTAAATATTAATTTTTAAAATTATTTAATTTAACAAATTATTATAAATTAATCTAATTATGATTATTAATAGAACAATTTTTTCCTAACATATATTATTATAAATTAATCAAAATCATCTTTTAATAATTATTTTTTTCCAGACATAGATTAATTCATAATAATTTGTTAAATTAAATAATTTTAAAAAATAATTTTGAAAATAAATATTTAATTATTTTTAATAATGAAAAAATTATTTTAATATAAGAATTTTAATTAAATAATAGAAGAAAAAAAGATAAAAATAATAAAATAAAATAAAAATAAATAAATAAAACAATTATTTTATATTATTATATAAATAAATTATAAAGATTATATTCTATCATTAAATTACAAATCCATATAAAGAGACTCGCTCACAAATTTGACATCAAATTTTGAAAACTCACCCGACACACACTTTCACCATCTAGCGTGACCCTCACATCGAACGTATAAATATATTAAAATATATAAATATATTTGTATTTATATATTTTATATTTATATATTTACACGGATATACATTTATTTGTATATAAATATAATTTATTTGTAAATTTTTATTAAAAAATTCTAACAGTTTAGTGGTTGGAGTATTAATATCTAACTCTAAGGTATCGATTTTGAATCTTATTAGCAATAATTTTCTTAATGTGATAAAAAAATTTTGTTAATAAGAGAAATTATATATTTTTGTGGTAAGACGATGATATTTTTAGGTTAAACTAAAATTAGGGCAACTAAATTGTTGTTATGGACTAAAACACAAAAAGTAAAAAATAAAAAATATAATTAAATAAAAGAAAAAATATATACTTTTGCATTTTTATTTTCAAATATTAGTTTTTTTATGAAATTATTTTTAATTAAAATAATTAAAGTGATATATATATATATATATATATATTTTTTAATTTTTTTGAATTTTAATTTATTAATATTATCAAATTTTAGCTTCATGATTAAAAAAATACCAATAATTTAAATTTTATTAATTCTATATTTTTATATAATTATTATTATAAATTTAATTCTCCAATAAATAATAATATTAACACATTTATTAAATTAAAATTCTTTATTTTAATTAATTATTTTGATTTTTTTAAATAAAAATGATAAAACTTAAAATTAATTTCTAACTAAATCTTCACATTTATGGTTAATAGTATATTATATTATTATGTTTAATTAAATTTTAAAATAAGTTCACTTAATCTTTACACTTTTATAAAAATACTAATATAAACTTAAAATATTTATCCAATTATAAAATTATTTAAAATATTAATATAAATTTGAAATATCAATTCAATAAATAATTTTAATTTTTTTATAAATACATTGAAATACATTTTTATTAACATAAAAGTAATATATATATATATATATATATATATATATATATATATATGTATCAAAAAGAGACTAAATTAATAATTAATTTAATCATTGATTATATATATAAAAGAGACTAAATTAATAATTACTTTAATGATCGAATCTAGTGACCGATTTGGTGACTAATTTAATAATTAATTTTAATTTTTTTATTCACATACTAAATTAAAAAATAAATTAAATAATTATATACTAAATTATTTAATAAGTTAATAAACTATTTTTTAAAAATTTTATAATGTTATTAAAAATTTTATCAATTATTTTAAATTATTAAGTAGATTTATATTTAATATATTATTAAAATATTTTTAAAAAATATTTATATAAATAAAAAATGGTCACTAATTTATATATTATTTGTTTAATGACTGAAATTTTAGTCACTAAATCGAGTCACTATATATAAAAGGAGAAATCAGTCACTGATTCAGTTACTATTAGTAACTGAATTTTTCGGTCACTAATTTCGATCACTATTAACCATTTTTCTAGTAGTGACCGAATCAGTTACTGATTTTGTGACCGAATCAGTGACCGATTTTCGTGACTGAAATTTTAGTCACTAAATCAGTCACTAAATATAAAACGGAAATCAGTCATTGATTTAGTTACTATCAGTGACTGAATTTTTCGGTTACTAATTTCGGTAACTATTAACCATTTTTCTAGTATGTCACCTACTCAAATAATCCATATTGATTCCTCACACATAAAATTCATAAGAAAACCTAATAAATGTTGATTCCTCATTCAATTAAGAGATTTTCCAATATTAGGTTAATGGTGTTAAGCAATTGATACATTCATTTCATTCCTAGAAATTAATGTAACAAATATTCTTACCGTGATCTAGTATTCAAGATATATTTTCCAATCATATCCCAAACATCAAGAATAAATCATTTCAAAGCACAATGGATAAAAATAACAACATCAAAACATAGATTAATATCTCAAAATATCACCATGATACAAAAGAGTTCAAAGGGAGTGCACCAATTCCCAAGAGAATGAAGTTAGTCACTCATGTTGGTCATTACAATGCTCCAAATGTGGAAAAAGTGAAGAATTGATGAAGATTGGACGAAACTCTGGTAGTAGTCGCGCTTCTTCTCCCCAAAACTGCTCCCTTTTCTCAAAACTCATCTTATCTTTTTATAGGAGAAATTGGGTTTTTGGATTTCGCATCTTTCGCTCAAGCGACAACACTCGCTCAAGCGAAAATTCCCTATTTTCGCTCAAGCGACAAAATATTTTGCTTGAACGAGTGAATTCCAGAGAATAATAACTAATTTTCACTCAAGTGAATTTACTGGCTCTTGAGTAACTGACTTCCAAAGAAGAATAACTTATATTCGCTCAAGCGAGAATCTATATCAATCGAGCGACTTCCATGCTGAAAATCTTCTTCCTCCTTTTAGTTTTGCTCCAATTATGTTGACAACCATGCTCTTTACTCTTGTATCAAG